CAGGACACCACCCCACACCCCCCTTTCCTCACCTGGTCAAAGATGGGTCTCACACACAGACACACACACGCCCCCCAAGCATGACTTGCACCCCCTTCTCCATCACAGCCCCAGAGCCAGCCTCAAAACTGCGTGGAGTCTCTGGTGTCTAACACAGAGGCTGAGCGCACATTGCCTTCCCCAGGAACAAAATGGAGGCAGGTCTGCCCCTCATCCCCCTGCCCGGCCGTGGCTCTTTGCACACCCCCGACAGACTGAGCTCTTCAGGGCCTCTTCCCCCTCTCCCAAAGCCTGCTGATGTCAGCACCAGGCTCAGCAGCTTTATTGTGGGGAGACAGGCACCAAGCTGTCACGTGGCCTCTGCCATTTCCTAAGAAACCAGCTTAAAAAAAAAAAAAACAGGAGGGGGGAAAAAAAAAAGAAAAAGAGAGGAAAAAAGGGTTGGGGGGGAAGAGAGGGGGGAAAAAAAAAAAAAACCCACAACCCAGGAAAGCCACAAGAAGGGGAGAGCAGAGGGCTGGACAGCCCAGCAGCGACCGAGGACCACCACCACGCTGCACCCACAGGGACAAAATTACAGGGGAGCGCTGAGGTTTAAGCAAGCAGGAGGGACGGTGCCCGCGGGGCTGGCGTTACCGGCATGGCTCACCCCGCCATGCCCTGTCCCCATGTTTGGCATCACCCCCACAGCAGTGGAGCAGCAACACCCGGCCCCGGCTGCCACCGTGTGCCCCGCTGCCACACACGTGTCGTTCCCTCTGCCGGGCCCTGCGCCGGGAGCTTGGTGCGTGCTGCCAGCCGGAAAACGCACGCTGCTGGAAGGAAAAGTTTCCTCTCCTTTGCTTGTATTGGAGAAAAAAAAACAAGAAGGGATGGCTTTTGCAGCACAGCAAGGAGCGGGGAGAATAAAGGATCTGCTCCTGGCCAAAGCAGGGTCCTCCCTCAGTGGCCCCAAAGACCTGACTGGCCTGCAAATTTAAAAAAAAATAATTAAATAATAACCAGAAAACTAAAGCAAGGACAAGCTCTTTTCACTACATCGTCATTTTAATTGCATCGACACCCAGAAATACACAAAAGGATACGTGCCAAGAGCCACCCATCAAAGAGAGGCTTCCTTCCATGGTGGGTCTTATTTTCACACTTCTTTCACTCAAAAAAAAAAAAAAAAAAAAAAAAAAAAAAGAAAAAAAAAAAAATCCCCCAAAAAAAAAAAAAAAAAAAAAAAAAAAAAAGGAAAAAAATATAATAATAATTGCACCGGTTGATGTACAAATACAGTCTTCCCTTTTCACACATTCGTGGGTTCTGCCGCAACGGGAGGGTGAAGCCCCAGCGCCCACCCTGACATGGCTGGAGCGGCTCCCTGGGGCCCAAACAGTTGTACAAAACAGTATGAAGATTTTCTTACAAACGTACACCTGCGGTGTTTACTGGTTGGGGTTTTTTTGGTTTTTTGTTTTTTTCTTTTTTTAAATTTTAAAACTAGGTTTTGGGTCACTAATGGCTTGTATCTTTTATCTACAGTAAATTCAGCATATATTTTTTATTTTTAGGAATGTGTAAGGCATTTTGGTAAGTTGAACGGTAAGGTCTAGGTCATAGACTCATCAAACTGAAGTCCCTTCCTTCGAACTGTCCTCTTCCGCCTGGAGAAGGAAAACAGAGGTGGGTTACTCAACTGGGTCTCAACCTTATTCTCGATGTGGCTTAAGCACCAGTGCATTCTGCAGACAGGCCAGGTCCTCCCTTCTGGGCAGGGAGAACTGTGGCCACCAGCTTGTACGGTCCCAGGGCTTCCCAAAAACCACCCAGATGGTTTCTGGCAGCAGGTGCCACCTTGCCTCCCATCTTAAACCTCCCCCTGCTGCGCGCTTCCCCCCGGCCCCCAACAGCGTCAAGGGGAGGAATGGCCATGGCCACCAAAAGTACCGTTTCTTGAAGCTGTTCTTTCAACTTCTTCACCGTTTCTCTCTCTTTGGCCAGTTGGTCCTGGGTAATCTTCAGTAGCTCCTGTAGTTTGGTTGCTGCCTGGCCCAGGTCCTTTGTTAATTTTTTTTCTTTTTCAAGTCTTTCCTACATGGGAGTCAAAAGAAGGCATCTGCCTGAGCCTCCCTTTGCCATCTGATGACGTCTCTCCCCCCCCCCCCCCAAACCCCCCTCTCCCACCTCAAGTCTGCACTGAGCCACCTCGATGGCCACAAGGACCCAGCTCTCTCTTTGCCAGAGACCACCCGCATCACCCCACCACCTACAGCTCACTCTGGCTCCCCCTCAAACCCAGAAGATGCCACAGGCTGAGACAACCTCACAGGAGCAGAATGGTTTCTCAAGATGTGAAAATCCCAGCCTGCGAGACCATTTGCTCAGAATATCATCCTTAGCTGGATGAAGGGGCACCCTGCTGTCCTTCAGCCACGCTGGAGCTCACAGCCAGCCCCAGGGCAGGGAGCTACCTGCAGGGGAACCACCTACTTTGCCCCACCATCCCCAAGAATCACAAACCATGCCTGCAGTTCTGCTTGGACACGGTTTTTGCTGTCTTGGCTCAACACCAAGCACAAGAGAGCAAGGCAGCCAAATCACCTTGAGATGCTGGGCCTCCTCCGTGTCTGAAGCTGTGACATTTTCAGCCAGCCTCAGCTTTTCCAGCTCTGCTTGCAAACTGCATGCTGAGCTCTGGGCCTGGAAGGGGGACACACACGCAATTAGCACATGAGCAAACAGCAGCAGGCACCTCCGGCACCGTGCCCCGTATAGCCCCTGGTCCCTGGTGGGTCTGCCTCTGGCGAAGAGTCAGGCTATACAGCTGCTGCCGGAGGGCCGGATGCTAACGCAATGCATTGCTTTTGCTGATCCAGCATCCATCGGGAAGACAGCATTTCTGGCTAGAAGCAGCATAAAACCCAGCTAAAGCCCTTAACCCTCAAGGAAAAGAGCTGGCAAAAAAATGGGGGCACGCGGAGGGGGGCAATTTGAGGGGCCAGCAACGCCGCGTGGCTTTAGCAGAGCTGCCACATGAGGTTCTTCAGATGCATGAGGGAATGCGGTGATGTCTGAGATGCAGGCAGGGATGGGGAAAAACCTTCAAATTAATTCTTGAAATTAATTCTTGGGCTTCATTAGCAGCCAAGAACATTAGCAGCCGAGATCCCATAAAGACTTTACAAAACCCTTGTTTCCCCGCGTACGCACACCTACCTCCTCCAGTTCCAATGCCAGCTTTTGCCGCAGCACTTGCTCCTTCTCTACCAGCACTTCGGTTTGCTCCAGCTGAGTTTTCAACTGTTGAGAAAAGGGGAAAACACACAGAAACAAAATTTTAAAAAAAAAAAAAAAAAAAAAAAAAAAAAAAAAAAAAAAAAAAGAGAGAAGAGAGGAACAAAAAAAA